CTCACCGAGGTCTCTATTCAGCAGCGCCCCTGGCCAATCTTCCGAGCCATTAGCCAGCCCCTAATGAATGCCAAGCTGCCCGGTGCTCGAGGCTCCAAGTACGGGAGGGACTTGGGATAAGGGGCATCATGGCCCCCACAGCCCACAGCCGGCGACCTTGGGAGGAGCCGAGGGACGGCCCTGCAGCCTGCCTGCATGGCTTTTCTGTCTCCAGGGCCTTGCGGGCACTTTGTCTGCACTGTCCCCTCACTATCTCCCCTCCCCCTTCCATCTCTGCTTCTTTCTCATCAGCCCATCTCTGTCTGCACTGTGGAGCCTTGGAAGGTCTGAGTTAGCAGAAATTGAGGGGGCCACCTGACACAACCGCACCATCTGTCCTCCCTGCCACCAGTCAACCCCAGGGAGGGACGGATCTATACCCTCTCCCCCAGAACAGTCCTGGGAAGAGGGAGGCCGCACCCACCTCCCTTGCCAGCCATGGCAGAGTGGGCAGCTCTCACTCTCACAGCCATTTTCATGCTGGGGCTGGGAGCTCTCTCTTGGTATGTCTGCTCCTGGGTCTTCCTCTACCTGCTGGAGCCCTAGAATAAGCCTCAGTCTCCTCCCGGGCTTTGGATATTTGAAGGCCGCCGTCCTTGACTTCTCTTCTCTGGCCAAGTGCCTGAGCTGCCCTTGACAATTCGGGGTTTCCAGCCAGGCCTCCCTGAGCCAGGCGCCGTCCTGGACCCACATCCAGGAGTCCCGCCCCATTGTGATTTCTGTTGTTTTCATCTGCCAGCCCTTCCCCCCTTTTTTGTTACAGCACCCCTGCCTCTTTGGGAAGCTTCTCCTCCTGGATCCCACATGGTTCTGGAGGGGCAGCCAAGTCTCCTGCCGTCCCTGGCCACAGAGGTCTGGCCCATCAAAGCCCTCCATCCCTTGACAAGGTGGCTGGCCCAGGGATGAGGACCCTGGGGCCTCAAGGTGGTAAAACGAGAGAAAGGTCGGGTAGACACAGCACATGAACATGCCTATCTTTCCCTCTTCATGCCCCAGGGCCCCCAGAGTCCTACCATTTGCAGTAGGAGGGGATGAGGCATACCGAGAGATGGCAGCCTTCGTGGACTGTGGAGGTCAATACAGGCTTGGGGAGAGGTAGTAGCACTGGTGAGGAGCAAGGAAGGCTGGGAGGAGGATTTTCTCTGCAGGAGGTGAAGGGTGAAGGGATGACTGGGTCAACAGGAGGGCTGGGGTCATGGGTCCTCACTATGCCGTGTCTCCACATCATTCCAGTCGAGTCAGGATATGGAAAGGAGCATAAACATGGAGGTGACAAGGGGCAGGGTCTGTGATCTCTGGACTCTTTGCTGCCCCCATGTGTTGCCTGAGGCTCCATTCCTGCTCAGGGCCAGTTCCGGGAGCTACCACACCGCCTTCCCACTGCTCTATCTACAGTAGCTGTCCCGAGAGCCTCGGGGAGCAGCCCTCGATCCCCCAAGGCTGCCTCATCTCCCAGTGGTGGTGGCGGTGGGCAGTTAGCAGAGGCCCCAGGGCATGACTGGTTGTGGGCAATCTGGCAGGGAGGCTGCTTCTGGGAGTCCCCTCCTGGCAGTCCCGCAGCTATGGGATCTGCAGGACCTGAGTCTCAGTCTGCCTGGCTCTGGGTACCAGCACCGGGAACGTCAATTAAATGTGCTAAAGGATGGAGAGAGGCTGCTAGAAGCCATGCAGGCAGAGGGCCCGGCTGTCCACCCCTCCCCTCATTAGCCAGGCCCTAGCTTAGCTGCTTGCTCAGTCCTGGGGCACAATCTTTTGAGTCTGGCACACAAGCTCACCCAGTGGTCATGGGCAGTCCTGGCCAGAGGCAACTTAGCTTGGCCTCACCACCTTCTCCTTGCACAAGTGTGGTAATGCCTGTCTTGGGTTAGACAACTCAGGCCATGAGGATTGGCCAGACAAGAAATCTCCCAGGCCAAAGCGGGGCTTGTCGCCTGATCCACAGATGAAGGGAAACCAGAGAGGCGGGCTCTTTCTCTGAACACCGTGGCAACCGTTACATTTCCAAGTCTCACTGATGTTCTACGGTCTATGCAAAGACACTGAGGCCAAGGGAGAGACCCCCATTCCTTGGGGTTAGAACGGACTCCTAGCTCAGACCAGCCAGGGGGCAGGCAGACTGGGGAGCCAACGGAGAACAGCTATGGAGTGCAGAGGAAGAAGATTCCAGAACTACAGCTTGCCCTGGAGGGGTATCTGGGAGGGACTGGGTGGGTGGGTGGCCTCAAAAACAAATGTCATTGGCTTTCCTGCCCAGCTGAGGGCCACGTGGGCCAGGCTGGGGGAGGCAGGGGGGAGGGGAGGGGTGGAGAGAGGCTCTGCAGCACAGCCCCAGGTTGAGCAGGGCTGCCCGTGGCTTCCGAGGCTTCCGTGGCTGTGCACTCTGAGTGCCCACATGTGCACGTGTGCTGTGTGTACGAGTGTGGTGTGTGTGACTTTGTGGAATGTATGTGACTACGTGACTGTAAGGAGAGTCTGTGGGTGTGAGTGTGAGAGTGTGTGTGTGTGTGCTGGGGAAGGCTGGGTGAACCCTGCTCCTGTCCCACCCCCAACTGGCCCCAACTGGCCCCCACCCGGCTCAGCCTCTCGGGTTTCAGCCACTGTCCTAAAGAAAACAGCCTGGAGCCTGCAGCAGGAAATCGCTGTTTGGGTTGGAAGAGGCGCCTCTTCCTGCCAAGGCCCCCAGGAGGGGAGAGGGCCAGGGAGGGGGCCTTCCTGCCCACCTGGACCAGACCTCAAGCTGGTCAGGCACACCGTGCCCCTCCTCCCGGCCCCAGCCTTGGGGGAGACCTGAGGCGGAGCAGGGACTGCCTGGAATCCTCCCCCCAACTCCCCCATCCCCCCCTCCGCCGTCTGCCCTCCTCATGGTCGAGAGGCGGCGCTCCTGTGGCCTTGTAAGCTGTGGCGTGCCACTTGGATGGGGCGACCCTGTCAGAGTCACAGCAGCCCCACCGTTAGGAATATTCCACAGACACAGCTTGCTTGCACAGCCTTGTTGGTCAGAGAGGAATAAGGGAGGGGGCGAAGCAGGAGCTGGGTAACCGGTGGCCGCTGGTCCTTCCGTGGGACTCCAGGCCACTCTTCGCTGTGCTAAGGAGGATCCCCTGGACGAATGGTCAAGCAATAAAAACAGGGCAGGACAACGTGTAGAGAATTTTGACATCTTTGTAAAAGAGAAAAAGAAGAGAAAATAGGCGTATATGCTTGTGTATGCACAAGTGAGACTTTTGAGGCTTTTGTACTTTGGGTGTGCAATCGCTGAACACAAGTATTCAGATCAACAGATAGATAAGTGAACACTGGGGGCCTGAGGAGATAGGGCTTCTCTCTTGGCTTTGGTCTTGACTCTGTGACCCTGGACAGGTCCTTTCCTCTCTGTGTCCTGAGTGTCCTATGAGATTCTAGAGGTCAGGGAAACCTTGGTGTTGGCAAAGTGAGGGCTGTGTGCCTGTTGGGGGCAGGGGCGGATGTAAGAGAGGCACGTGCTGGTCTGGGCAGTCCTTCTCACCCCCTCTTATTACATCCTTCTGGTGCAACCGGACCCCCTCCCAGTCCTGGGCTGCTCCCCCATATGGCCTTCCTTGAGACACTCCCCATTTCAGCTTTTTCTGAGCTCCCTTCTTCCATCCAGAATCCCTCCGGGCCACTCCAGCCTTTGTCCTGGAAGCAGTGCCCACCAATTTCTCCACCTTACGAGGCCTTCTTCAGCCCTGTCTTCTCCTCAGGATGATTTGAGTCCAACCACGGGACAGTCCTCTCACTCACCCTGGACCCCTCCTGGCTTCCTCCAGGCCCAGGATGGGGAGGGGAGGGCTCAGTCCAGCCGGCCCTCCCCACTGTGGGAGCTCCCTCTCCCCCAGGGGAGCCCTGCAGTACTCAGGGCTGCCCTCCCCACAGACATCAAGGGTGCTAGCCACATGGCCTCCAAGGCTTCGGCTAGTCCCGCCAGTTTTCTTCTTCATCAGGCCCCTGACAGTTGGGAGACTGAGGCTGGGCCAAGTGACCCCCCCTACTCAGGCCATACTTACTCCCAGAGCAGCCCAGGAGCAAGCCCAGGCTGCAATGGGCCAGGGCTGGCTGGGGCAGCACCCAAGCCTCTGAGCTATCAGAGAGAAGGGCTTCGAGAAGCAGGAGTCAGCAAGAGATTAATTAATCAAACCCCGAACACATCTGTTGTTAATTAATTCTATGCCAAGGCTTAACTCTTCCCTCCCTGGGCTTCCCCATCCCTTTGGTATGAAGAAGGAAAAAATGGTGAGGAGTGGGTACCTCTCTTACTGCCTTCGAGGGGAACATGAAGGAGGAGAGGGACTCCAGAGGGCAGGGAGGCCTCCCCCATCATTTGGGGGCTTTGTATGTGTCTGTTGGGGGAGGGGGGAGTGTTTGCTTTTGAGACTAGGGGTTCTATGGACACTACTCATAGGTGCTGAGATGGACAAATAACTTTATTTACAGCAACAAATAGGTCAGGCCCACCACCCTCCATTCCCTCCCTCTCCCCTTCCAGTATTTTCTATACCGTTCCTGTCCCTCCTGGCTTAGCTCTGCCCTCTGGAGGACTTCGGGGGTCACCATACGAGTCAGGCCCCCTCGAGGGTCCGGTAAAGACACCGGGGAAGGGCGTGGCCCAGAGCAGGCTGGGATGTCTCACTTCACATTTTGCTGAGCCTGGGCGGCGGGAGGCGGGGCCGCAGGGGCCGTGAGAGGTAGAGGAGCGCACAGCCCGCCAGCCCCGTCTCCCCCCGCCCCCCTTGCTGCCCCCCCACTTTCACAGTGTTCTGAGGCCCAGGCCGTGGGGCCAGGCGCGGCTCCCTCCCCGGCCCGCCCCCCAGGTTGTCGGCACTGCTGCGGGTCCCGGCACCGCGAGGCTGGGACGGGGCGTGGGGTGAGGGGCGCTGCGGCAGCCCCGCCCCCCTCCGCAGAGCTGGCCCCGCCCCCCCGCCCCACCCCCGGGGCCGCGGCGCGAGGGGCGCTGCAGGGGCGGCGGCGGTCAGGAGGAGAAGCAGAGCCCGCAGCACTCCATGCAGATCTCCAGGCAGTCGGCGGACTCGCAGCAGGCGTCCACGATGCCGCAGTCCAGGTCGCAGGGCAGGTCGCAGTCGGCGCACTCGCCCGAGCCGCAGCAGCAGCAGCAGAGGCACGAGTCCTCGGAGCTGCAGGAGCCGCACGTGGCGCAGTCCAAGACGATGTTGCACAGCGTCAGGAACTCGCAGAACAGGCAGGACAGGATGCAGTGGACGCAGCAGTCTGCGGGCACAGGCGGGGGACAGGGCTGTTGAGACAGCCTGGGGGGCGAGGGACCCAGCCGCAGAGGGCTCACGGCCTAGTGCTGGGCTCCCCTCCCACTGCTCAGACTCATGGGGATGGTGAGGGGCCCAGCTTTCCGGCTGATGACCCCCAGGCACAGAGTTACACGCACCTGCCCAGTTAGCTGCAGAGCGAGGGTCCAAGCCCAGGTGGTCTGGATTGAGTCCCTGCGCTTCACCACCCTGAGTCATTCGTTTACCAAACCCACGTCCTAGCTAGCATGTCCCACGCACTCTTCTAAGTGTCGGCATGAATGAAACTCATGTAAACTTGCAACAACTCCATGAGATGGGGCTACTATTAGCCCCACTCTACAGATGAAGAAACTGAGGCACAAAGAAGTGGCTTCAGAATACACCCAGAATCCTACCACTCTGCTCATCTCACTCCCCACAGCCCCCCCCCCCCCCACTGCAACAACCATCTCTCTGGTTGTCCCAGCCTCCACCCGAGACTATACCTCCCTGCACCTACCCCCCACGCACTAGCCCAGAGGTACCCTTGCAAAACTTCAGTCCAGTGAGTCCCTCCTGTGCTCAGAACCCTCCGGTGGCTTCCACCTCCCTAGGAGTAAGATCTGGTCTCCTTCTGCACTCTGTCCTCCTAGATCACTCTGCGGTGGCCTTCCGTGGGCACCGCAATCTACCAGCCCCACCCCAGCACCCTCAGCCCCTCGCCCTGGCCCACCTTGCCTCTCTCCTGGAAGGACTTATCACCTGCCACCACACTCCACGGCTTCCCCCCCCCCACTAAAATGTAAACTCCAGAGGACAGGCAACTTTGTCCCTTGTAGTCAGTGATACAAGTCCGTAGAAGGTGCCTGACACTGAGGTGCTGAGTAAAGAGATGGTAAGTGAATGAATGCATGAGTCTATCCTTCGGCAGCCACCTGGGAAGTGGTAGATCGAGGAACTGAAACCAGGCAGGCTGGCTCTGGAGCCCATGCTCTGAACCGCTCACTGGGCGGCCAGGATGCTCAGCTGGCATCCCTCCCAGGGGCTGGGCAAGCAGAGGAGTGGCCAGTTCCCCTGACCAGGTGGGCCTCTGCCACAAGGCTGCTGGCCCTATGGGGGTCTCACACTGCCATGGAGGATCTGACTGTCCCACCCCATTTCTGTGTGGAGGGACTGGGGTCTCGTACAGCCGGGACCCCTGCCTTCTACCTGCAAACGGAACAAGGCAGTTCTCTTCAAGTACAAATCTGATGAAGTCACAACCTTGTTTGAAATCCTTCCATGGCTCCCTATTGCCATCCAGATAAACTTTTTTGAGAGAGAGAGGGCGCGCAGGCGCGCACCTCAAGTGTGTGGGGGTGAAGCAGGCTCCCCACCCAGCTCGAAGCCAGAGGCAGGGCTCAATACTCTGAGCCTGAGGTCATGACCTGAGCCAAAATTCAGAGTCAGACCCTTAACCAACTCAGGCACCCGGGCACCCCATTCCCTCCAGATGAAGTCTAAGACCAGTGCAGTTTACAAAGTGCCTCCCACTCCCACAGCTCCTGCCTGTGTGGCATCTCACCGCCCCCCATTCCTCACTTAGAATTTCGTAATCTAGCCAAGCTAGCCATTTCTCACGTCTGTGCCAAGGCTCCCCAGCTAGATTCTCCTACTCACCATTTGAGACAGGCTCAGACACCTCCTGGGCTTTCCCAGACTCCCTTCCCCAGCATTCTGGGCTCGTGTGGGTGTCCCCTGTGTTTGCATCATCTCCTTTCTGTGGCTTTACCACTGTATGTGTCACCCCATATGGTGATGACCTGTGTGTCTTTCTCATGTGAGCTTTGTGAGGCCAGGGACTGGGTCCCCAGCACAGAGCACAGTGCCTGGCTCCCAGCAGATGCCCAGTACATCTTTAAATGAATGAACATTCCCTTCATAATTCAGACTATTGGGCAGAATCTGTTCTGTGGGAAGGCCGATGAACACGTTAGGTGCAAATGTGTACCCAGAATCCTGTTTGCAGAAGACCATGGCGGAGTTCCCCAGTATGGGCAGGAGGCACTTAAACATTTTGGGGTAACGGTTAAGGTGAAGCACCACTGAGCTCCAGGCAGCCATCCCCCACGCCGAATTAATGCCTGGTGGGGCAGGGAAGCTGGCTGCCCAGGGCAGCCCCGCAGGGGACCCCCATATTGCAGGAACGACGGCTGATGTATCCGGGTTCTCTGCCTCCCCACCGCCCCACACGGCCCTCACCATGCCCCCAGTTAAGTATCTGATGCTGCATCCTTTTACTCTGCCAGGTGTTCTGCTCTCATGAAACAGGCGGTCTAAGCCTTGAGGAAAATTGTGTTTCCAGAAATGGAGTGGCTTACGCTGGCTCAGCCCAGATAGTTTCATTCCTTGTTACAGCAACTGTGGGAGAGCATGGGTGGGAAGGGGCTGGTCTTGAGAAGGCAGGTATGCCTAGCTTTCCCCAGCAGGTGTAGCTGGCCAGGTTCCCCGGAAGCAGTGTTAAAACCGGTCTCCTGGGCCCCACCCAAAGGTTCAGATCCAGGATGCCTGGCGTGGGAATGAGCCTGTGCTTCTAACCAGCGACCCATTGAAGAGGCTGCTGCTTGTCCCGGCATCATGCTTGGAGGGACCCGGCTCGGGAGGCCTCTCCCAGGGAGGCAGGGGGCCTTACCTTCCTGCGCCTGGAGGGGGATCTGGGAGGCAGTAGATTTGGTGCTGCCCTTGCTCTTCCTGCTGGCCTGACTGGCGAGAGATGGGTGCGTCTGCAACTTCCGGTGGGCCTTGGGGCCACCTAGGGCACCGTTCCCCGCCCGCCTGGCGCTGCCCAGCTCTGAGGGGTGGCCTGAGCCATTCGCCACTAGTGGGGTGCAGCTCACGGGGTTCCCCTGAGGCTGGCCTAGAGAGATGATGAGAAAGGTTAGTGGGGGTGGGGGGTGCACGGCCTCCCAGAGCTCTGCCCCAATCTTGCCTGCTTCTTTCTTAGATATGCCACAGGTCATCTAGCTGGCCTTGTATTCTGCAGATGGGGAAACTGAGGCCCAGAGAGCAGCACTGACTTGTCAGACGCACACCAGGAAACAGAGTTGAGCCTGGCTCATGACCCCCAGGCCAGTGCTCATTCCAGGAGAAAGAGAGGTGCAAGGCAACCACAGGGGCTCAGAGTCCTGGACCCCACCTTCTTACCCACTTGAAATCCATTCTCCTGCTTTTGGGATCTTGGGGTTTGGCAAGAGTGGCGGTGGTGGTCAGGGTGAGGGGATAAGGACTGTTTGGTTGGGGGGGGGGGGCAGAAGGACAGCAGTGAAGCAGTTAACCTTCACCTTGGCCCCTGCCAAGCCCCCAGCTGTTTTTGCCCTTGGTGTGCTGGGTGATTTATTGGAAACATCTGTTTGGAGATGAACGCCCTGGCCCTGGGCTCCACGGGCGCCTCAGAGCAGCCCCTCTCTCTCTTCTCTTCCACCCCAGCTTCCCTGCCCTGTGCTGCCTCTGTGGGGTGGCTGGCAGAATAAGTCTCCTGGAGCGACCCTGGGGGTCTGGGTGAGGGGGAAAGACCTGTGGTGGGGGATCCCTGAGGCCAGGAACTCCCTGAGTCCCCATTCCAGGGTGAGAGTCCAAACTTCAGCTTCACCAGTGGGTCCAGGGAAGCTGGCCCTGGGGATCCCCCGAAAGCACCCAGTCCCTTTCCTTACTTCAGGTTTGCTCATCTGGATGACATGGTTCTGTTTGCAAGAGAGGGGGCTGTGTGTGTGTGTGTGTGTGTGTGTGTGTGTGTTTGGGGGAGGGGGCTGAGAAGGTGACATGGAGAGGTGGGCCCTCCATGTCTGGGCCCCCTCAGCCGCTCAGGGCTGTTGGCTCCTGGGTCGGACCCTCTGTAAATGCACAGATGTTGGGCACTTCCATCTCTTAGGCACCAGGGTGTGGGTCCCCAGCTCCCTCCAGGCCAGGCCTCTAGGTTTGTATTATAGTAGGAGGAGGTATGAGGGGGAGCGGGCCCTGGAGGCTGAGGAGAGGGGAAGGCAGCGTCACTGCTTCCCCTGACTGAGAGGGCTGCGCCTTCTACGGAATGGTTATAGTGACCTCCCATCATGGAGCACTTACTGCTTGCCAGCCCTCCTTCTAAGCGCTCCACATGCCATTCTCTCACGAAGCCTCTCAGTTTCTCCCTGGGGTGGTATCCACCTTTCACAGATGAGGAAACTGAGTCCCAGAGAAGTACAGGACCTTGCCCAAGGTCCCACAGCTGGAAAGGATCAGATGTGGGCCCAGCCAGATGTGGGCCTGGTCCTGGCCCAGCCAGGACCCAACAGCTGGGACTCAGAGCGCAGAGTGGGGCAGAGGCTAGGAGATGAAGGACTGGGGATGGAGCTGCTACTATCACAGCCATCCCTCGTCTTAGAGCTCATACCTTATACATTTGGGCTGTTGTTAGGTCCAACAGCGTGCCAAGAGCTTTCTGTGGAGTAGCTTCTTCACGCATCTTGATAGGTCTACTGTCATTGGCCCCATTTCACAGATGACAAAAAAACAGAGGCCGAGTTTCCACAGCTAGGAAGTGGAGCAGGGAGGGGATGGAGGTTGGGAGAAAGGAGCTGAGGCCCAGGTGGGGAGTCAGGAGAGGATGGGAGACAGGGCTCTGGAGAAGCTCCATGCTGGGAACCTTTGGCCCTGAGGTGTGGCTGGTGCCTGCATCTGGGTAAACAGGGGTAAGGCCACTGGAAGCAGCCAGGCCTGAATCATCCCGCTCCCCTCTTGGCCCCACGGTGGGAGACCAGCCTGAGTCCTTGGCCAGCTTCCGTGCCCCCTGCCCTGATGCCTAAACATGGGCACAGTGACCAGAGGGTGGGAGTGTGTGGTGAGCTGAGGGTGCTGGGAGGTTCGGATAGACACAGAGCTTGCCTGTGGCCATGGCCATGGGGGTGGCCGTGGGGGCTGACTCACAGAGCAAACACTCGGGCCCACAGACACAGAGGTGTCTGTCCAGCTCCCAGCCAGGCCCCCTCCTCTGCGGCAACGGCACTGACCTCTTTCTCTCAATTCGGCTGGTGGGTGTGTCTAGAAGAGGCTGAGGGCAGTGTGCTAGCAGGATTTAGTAACCCTGACTTCCAGGGAGTCCAAGTTAGCCCCAGATGCCCTGGCTGAAGGCGGCTCCCCGCTGAGCCATGCCAGCTGAGGAGGCAGGCACAGGAAAGAGCCCTGTGCCAGGAGACCTGAGTTCCCCAGCTGTGTCCAGGCTGAGTGGTGCTGCGTGCCTTAGTTTCCTCATCTGTAAAATGGGCTTGGCACTTGCTGTCCTGCTGCCTCACTACAGGCTGGTCTGAAGAGTCTGTGAGATCATTCAGGGAAAGAAAGTTGGAAAGTGCAAATGTGTCTCTAGATTTGGTAGGTCTTATTAATTTCAGACTGCTCTGGCTGCCCCCTCCCCTGCTCCCGAGGGGAATGGAGGAGAGTTCTCTCCCTCCTAGGACCTCCTTGGAGGCCTTAAGCCAAGACTGGGAATAGGCTCCTTTCTGCTCAGAGTAACCCGGGACTGCTCTCTTTCCTTTTCACCCTCGACACCCTGGAGGGTGGGGCTGCGATGGGGTCTGGCTCCTGGCCCTCAGGACCCCCAGATCTCTTCCTCCTTTCATATGGCCCCACGCCCTCTGCTCTTGAACCATATTGCCTGGAGCCTGTCCACCCTCCTTGTGAACTAATGTTATACTGATCATTTTGTATGTGGAGGTCTCTTTCCTAGACAAAAAGGACGGTGACCATGACCTACACCTTTCTGTTGCCCACGCTTCAAGGTTCTGGCCCAGTGCTAGGCTCCCATGGGCACCCACTGCATGTCCACCAGCCCAAGGGATAGTATTCCCTGGCGCGACCCCTACATGTTGCCACTCCCATCCCCTGACCCCTAGGACTCACGTGTCACAGCTTCTGTGGGGACATCGAGGTCAGTACTGTCCAGGGGCTGAGGGGCCCCAGGGCCATTGCCTTGGGGCATGGGGGGTGCCGCTTCCTCCAGGGAGCCTTCCTCTAGCGCTGCCTCCACAGGGTGAGTGGATCTGGTTACTACCTCTAGCCCAGGCAGGAGGGATGGGATCTGGGCTAGAGAAAAAGCACAAGACCAAGGTATATTTTCCCAGTGCCCTTCTGTCTCCCCAGCCCTGGTCTCCTTCCCGCAGCCCAGAATGCCATGAGCCCCCTCATTCTCTGCCTCTCTGTACCAGCTACCCAGCCCTTACCCTATCTGGCAATGGTGCCAGGCTCCAAAGTGGAAAACTCCCAAAAGGCAAGGCAGGAGTGCTCAAGGGTGTGTGTGTATATGTGTGGATATGAGTGTGTGCACGCACACACTTGTGTCTGTGTGGTTGTCAAGGACAGGGGCCGGAGGTGGGCAGTAGAAAGGGACGTGAAGAGAAGCACGGTGCAGGAAAGGACAGAGAGATGGCAGTGATGGAGGGGCAGGGACAGGCATCCAGAGTGACAGGGAGAGGGAAAGAATCAATGGGACAGTGAAAGGCAGAAGCAGAGAAAGCAAGCATCAGAAGGCGGGTTTGGGTGCCGAAGGAGGGAGCCCCCAGGAACCCAGGGACAGACAGCCTGAAATGTGAGGGAGACTCAGCAGAAAGTCAGTGAGGGGGAGGCAGGGAAGGGTGGGATCAGGAGCAGAGGCAACAGAGACGAGAGTGCGGTGCAGACAAGGGTGAGAGGGACAGACAGGTCAGAGAGAGGATGACAGTGGGAGAGTCAGAGACCTGGGGTGAGGAGAAGGATGGGCCTGAGGCGGACGGCCAGGCAGGAAGAGAGGCAGGGAGCCGGCCCAAGAGGCTGGGAAGAGGCGGACCGCAGCCACATGTAATTACAGTGACCAGCTCGGCCCCTCTGCGCAGGGTGGGCGGAAGGCAGAAATGGAGCCACCTTCAAAACCCCAGCTCCAGAGGCAGCAGGACTAGGGCCCTCCTGGGCCCAGGGGAAGAGGAGGGGGGATGGGAGGTGAGGGAGGGAGGCAGAAAGGGGCCTGGGGTCCCATCCCTCAGTGCCACCAGGGCTGTAGGAAGGCCTGAGGGTAAGCAGGAAGGGTGAGCTCAGGGGCCCGGGGCCCGGCCGGCAATTACATGGTGCGGGGTGCAGCCCGAGCCTCTCATCAGACCCCCAATTGTGCAGTCAGGGAGGACGAGGGCTTCGAGGGGGTGCCCCCCCCACATGCCATGTTGGGGGCGGGGGAGACGCAGAAATGAGAGACTCAGAGAGACACAGAGACCACAAGGACACAGGGAGAGGAGAGCCACAGGCAGACAGAGAAGGACAGAGAAAGAAAAGGGCAGGAACCCAGAGACTAAATGTTCACCACCCGCCTGTGCACACCACACAAAATGACCGAAAGAGACACACCCAGGGCGACGAGAGATAGACAAAGACTAGTCTTGGAAATAGAAACCGACTCAGTCACAGAGAACACAGGGGCCTCCACACACTGGATGTGTCTGAGCTGTCTCCAAACGAAGCCCAGCCAGGACAGGAGGCAGGAGGCCCCCATCCGGGGAGCCAGTGAGGGTGGGGGAGGCAGGTCTGGGCACTGGGAGCAGCCTGAGAGGAGGGGACCAGCTAGGGGCTCAGCGGCCCCACCCCTAGGGGGGCCCTGAGCAATCCTTGTTCCAAAGAGTCCCGTCCTCCATGGCGAGGGGACCAGGCCCTAGGGGACCCAGACAGGTAGCACAGAGACAGCAGGCCCGAGGGACGTGCTCACACCTGCCTGGAAAAACAGGCTGTTTCTGAAGACAGGAGCTGGGGCCCTGGGCTCCTGCAAGCTCTGGGTGTGTGTGGCAGAGTTACAGGTAGGCACCCCTCCCGGTGACCCCGGCTGCTCCGAGGAGGGAGGTGTGGGCTCCATCTAGCCCCCATCCACTCTTGGGTTCAGTTGAGAGCCCCCTCGCTCCTGGGTTCATGAGACAGGAGTCAAATGGCTTTTGGAAGATCACAGGGCTGCGGCAAGGAGAGTAGGGGTGCTGAGATGACACGCAGGAGAGAGGGCGGAGTGATGCCTGCTGGATGGTACCTCTCCCAGCCCGGAGCCTGGGCTACAGCTCAGCCGGGGCTCCTGGGGGCTAACAGCAAGCTGGCATGAAGATTGAGGCTCAGAGCTTGGTCCTGATTTCTAGGAAGGGAGGGGCCTGCCCAGTTCCAGCCTCTGGCCCTAGAGGCACCGGGCTGTGGCCCTGATGGGCAGTGTGGTCTCTCCCGTGTGGTGCGATGAAAAAGGCCTGGCGAGGAGCTGGAAGGTCCAAGCCCTGGCTTTTACCAGTAGCCAGTGTGGGCAAGTTACCAGGACTCTGTGCGTGTAAAGGGTGGTGGTGGGGTGCCTGGTGGCTCAGTTGTTAAGCGTCTGACTTCGGCTCAGGTTATGATCCCAGGGTCCTAGAATCGAGTCCAGCATAGGGCTCCCTGCTCAGCAGAGAGTCTGCTTCTCCCTCTTCCTCTGCCTGCTGTTCCCCCTGCTTGTGCTCACTCTCTCTCTGCGTCAAATAAATAAAATCTTAAAAAAAAAAAAAAAAGGTTGGTGTACTTCATGCTTATCCCTCAGGGTTTCCAAGAGTAAATGAAGTATGCAGGGGGCCATTCATGAACCTTCCCATCCACCAACCCTCCTTTCCTCCCTTCCCCCCCTCCCTCCTTCCCTCCCTTCCTGTGCTGTTTGGTTTAACATTTATGAAGCAGCTATGATGTACGTTGCAATGTGTCAAGTGCTGGGAACACCAAAGTGAGGAAGAGGAGGTCACTGTCCCAGGAGTCGTCTGTGGGGGGTGGAAGGGTCGTCACATACACTGAGGGGTGAGAGGCATGCTGGGCTGTGGAGGCACAGACCCAGGCACTCATCCCAGGGGTGCGCAGGCAGGTGCATGTGTGTGTGTATCTGGGAGGCTTCCTAGAGAAGGTGGTGCCCACACTGGGTCAGCAAAGAAGGGGGAAAGGACTTTTCCAGAAGAGCAGCAGGAGCCAACCCCCCAGGGTGGGTGGCTGCGCGTGAGCAAGGGGACCCGCAGCCCCGCCGTTTGGTGGTGTTGAGGCTGGGGAGCTTAGAGAACTGGGGCCTCGTGGTGGCTTCCCAGGATCCCTCCTGAGGTCCCTGGGGTGCATGGAGATGACACCATCAGTCCTGTAGTAGAAGGAGCCAGGACTGCAGCTCTCCTGGCACCCGTCCACTGTTGGAGAGGGATGAAGGTGAACGGAGGGCTTAAGGAGACCAGTCCCGATCTCCGCCCTCCTCCCCCAGTGTCGACACTCTCTGGCAGCCTCTCCTTGTAGGTGACCTACAGGGTTGGTGACCTTGAGGCCTTGGGAACAAGGAGACAGCCCAGACCAAGTCCCGAGGAGGCCCTCCTGAAGGGAACTGCTGTTCTAGGGTGAGCCTCGCACCTTGGGAGGGTATCAGGGAGGAAGGACAATCCAGTCCAGTCACCTTGACCTGGAAATACAGAGAAATGGGTCTTTTGGAGCCAGGAGGTGACCCAGCAGATGCTGGACAGACGAGGAACCCGTGCTGAGTGGGCAGAGACACGGAAGCAGAATGAGAAGGCATTAAGAAGTGGTGGGAAGAGCAGAGCTCTGAACAAGGGATACTATCCGGAGGGCCCGGTGCAAAGGGACAGCTCTCCCTAGAAGCACACAGAGCAGAAAAGTTAGACAACAGGGCGCCTGGGTGGCTCAGTGGGTTAAAGCCTCTGCCTTCGGCTCAGGTCGTGGTCCCAGGGTCCTGGGATGGAGGCCCGCATCGGGCTCTCTGCTCGGCGGGGAGCCTGCTTCCTCCTCTCTCTCTGACTGCCTCTCTGCCTACTTGTGATCTCTCTGTCAAATAAATAAATAAAATCTTTAAAAAAAAAAAAAAAGTTGGACAACAGGTGAAGCTCCAGGCCTCAAGCATCAAGAGACCAAAGGAGCCCCACTTTCCTTCCTGTGACCATGAGCCCCCACTGTTCAGCCACAGAGGGAAGAATGTCTCAGTGGAGAAGCTCCCAGAGGAATGTTCCAGAGGATAGAGATGCGGAGAGGGCTGGAAGGAAGCGGTGGCCAGCAAAGGCCAAGGGCTCTGCTATGCATGTGCAGTTCATGTGTGGCATAAAGGTGCCTGCCCCCGATCAGGACCCCAACCTCCCCGGGGGTGCCATCTACCCGCCCAGCCACATCCCTGCTCCGTCTGACCAGAGGGCCACATTTGTCTAATGTGCACAGGGGGTCACACATGCTGGTGGTGTCTCTGGGCTGAAGCCGCGGCCCCGTGCTTCTTTCTGGGGTCTCCATCTGCAAGAGGGGAATGTAGAAAGGCAGCAGCCTCTTTCCCTCCATGCACTTTCCTCCCTAACATGGGATAGGTTTGGAGCCAATACCCTGAGTTCTGGAAAGATCTCCCAGGAGGGAGTGGAAACGTGCTGTTTAAGTCCATAAGCCAGGAGTGCCTGGGTGGCTCAGGGGGTTAAGCTTCTGCCTTCAGCTCAGATCACAATCTCCCAGTCCTGGGATTGAGTCCCACCTTTCGTCTCGTCATGGAAGGGGGGGAATCCCTGCTCAGCAGAGAGTCTGCTTCTCCCTCTCTCTCTCCCTCTGCCTTTCCCTCTGTTTGTGCTCACTCTCTCATGCTCTCTCTAAAGCAAATAAATAAATAAAATCTTAAAAAAAAATAAACTCAGGGGCACCTGGGTGGCTCAGTGGGTTAAGCCTCTGCCTTCGGCTCAGGTCATGATCCCAAGGTCCTGGGATCGAGCCCCGCATCAGGCTCTCTGCTCAGTGGGGAGCCTGCTTCCTCCTCTCTCTCTCTGCCTGCCTCTCTGCCTACTTGTGATCTGTCTGTCAAATAAATAAATAAAATCTTTTAAAAAAATTAAAAAAATAAACTCAGAAGCCCAAGAGGGAAGGCCAAGAGACTCACAACTTGGGCAGAAGCCCGGTAGGATCCTTCTGGCTGCCTGCTGTCCACCAACGTGAGGGGTGCTCCTGGCCCGAGGAATGGGGGGACACCTCTTCCAGGTGGGATGGGTTCACCTCAAGCCTGGAAAGTGCCCACAGGACCTTTGTTCTGGAGCTCAAGTCTCTAGTCGCTCAAGCCCAGACCTCTCCCTTGTCTTGTGGACAGTGGATCCAAGCTTCCCCTGGGGAGCTCTGAATACCTCTGGAGAGGTCCAAGATCTCTCTGCTCAGAGAGTAGTGACTAGAACCCAACACTCCAGTCTCTCCTTGGCCTGGCATTCCCGTCTCAGTCTATATCTTCAGCCCGATGAATGGGCAGGGAACCTGTGTTCTAGGCAGCCTCACCATTCCATGGCCCCAGGTCACCACTGGGCCTTCTGACCAATCCACCCATGCTTCTGTTGTTCCTCTTAACCAGAAGGTTCTAACCCTCTCCTCTCCCACTCCCCAAATCCAACCTATCCTTCAGGGTCTAGCTCCAGCTTGCCCTCTTCCTCTAGCAAGCCTTCCCTTGATACTCAAGCCAACGGTCCCTCTTCGGAGTGGTCCATCGACTGAGAACTTGGCACCCACTTAGCATGCTCTTATTACTGAGAACTTGGTAGTGAAATCCCGGCCCCTCAGCCAAATTGCAGCCCTCCCTAGCTCGATCTCTTGGGGTAGCAGCACAATTCACCCCTGCACCCACAGTGGGCACTCAGCGAATGTCTGTTGCTAAGGACAGAATCTTGGAACTGGAAATGCCCCAGGTCAGGGGCAGAGGAGAGAATGAGGGGGTGAGGACTAGAGGTGGCTTTTGGCTTCAAACCCCAAGGAGGCGAGAATTTGGTCTCATTGGATGCATCTTTGTGATACACCAGTCACAGTCCCCGCCACTGGGCTGAGGACTCAAGAGGGCCTGAGCTGGCCAGTTAGGCTGGGTTGGGTTGGTTTTATTTTAGGTCTGAAGGCTCCAATTCCCCAGGAAATTCAATTTAGAACCAAGAGCAGGAATGTGACGCCTCAGTGCTGGACAGAAATCTGCTGTGGGTTAGGGAGCCAGGCTCTCCGGGGGCTCGCAGGGGTGGGTGGGGAGGAGGCACTGGGGGGAGCCGAAGGTGTGGGGGCTTGGCCACCTGCCCCAATCAGAGGTGCCCTGAGTCCCCTTGCACCCTGTCTGCATCTTGGGCAGCTGAGGGCAGGGGTGACTTGGTCCCTGGCTGTCCTACCAGCCAGGCCCCCAGGGGCAGTGCTCAGCAGGGAGTGTGGGGGATTCTGGTCTCTGCTTCAGGCGTCTGTGGGGTTTTGGCTGGGTCTCCTGCGGTTTGGGCTTCCTGGGCAGCAGGGCTCATTCTCCCAAGGCGGCAGAGCCAGGCCTCCTTGAGTTATGAAAGCCACATTGTCTGGCCCAGCCCAGGCTGGGGAGGGGGCTCTCTGGGCCGCTGGAGGGTGGGAGGTGGCGCCTCAAGTTACAGCCTAGGGCTTTACCCCTCCAGGTGGCCCACCCTGCCCCAGCAAGTGGAGTCTCTCTTCTCCCTGCTGGGACTCAGAATGGGTCACTCCGGGCAGCAGATCTTGCAAGGAGGTAGTGGGGGAGAGAGCAGAGGAAAAGGATAAGCAGAGAAAGAAGGCAGAGCAAAGGGAAAGGGTGGGAGAGGAGAGGCCCAGACAGTGAGGAGGGGTGAGAGAGGCCAAAAGGGAGAGAGGTTCCCAGACACAGAGAAAGATCCTTGCTGGTCCCGCCCCAACCTCTCTTTCCAGGCTGAAGGAGTCCACTTCTTGGAGGGGCTCATCCTCCAGAAGTCTCTGCTCCAGGGGCCCCACCAAGAGGAGAGAATCTGAGGGCTAGCGGGGATGCTCAGTAGACACATTAGTCTGGCCAGCCATCTCCCACTTGTCCTCGCTCTGCTGTAGGAGACGCCCCACCGGGCCGGGGCTGGGTGTGCAGTAGGTAGACCTGGGGAGCCGACAGCCTCTCCAACAGGCACATAGGCCCAATGGGCAGATGTGCAGACAGAAGCCAGAAAGGAGAAGCTACTTGTCCGAGCCCATGCAAGGAGTTAGTGTCAGTGGTCCAGGACCAGACCTTCTTATTCAGAAACTCAAAGAGGGGAGAAAGGGAGAGTGGGGGTGGGTGAGAGGAAGGCGGAAGACTGAGACTAACCTGCTGGGACTGAAGTCCAGAAATCTGGGCCTAGACTCCTGCTCTCCATCCCGCTGCTCCTGGACAAATCCCAGCTGCTCCTGACTTCTCCCTGGCACTGCGGGCCACTGTGAGCCTCAGCCTTCATGGGCACAGTCAGGAGAATAGACTGAGAGCCGCAGCCCCAGAGTGCCTATTCTATACCCCTCAGGGAGTCACAAAGCCTTCCAGGGTTGGGAGGCTCCTGCAGAAATCCCACTGGGGTTAAAGACCCTGCGAATTGGGGGTAGGGGCATTTCACTCCGGCTGTGGGCAGTTGGTTGGAGTGAGTGTGCGTGTGTGTGGGCTTGTGTGTGTGTGTGTCTGGGCGGGAGGCTGTGTGTGTGTGTGTGTCTGGGCGGGAGGCGCGCGCCTGCAGGGTGGGAGCAGCCACAGGCCAGGCCCGGTTGGGGAGGAAGAGGAGGGAGACAAGATGGCAAGGAGGGGAGGGGCCAGGTCCTGGAGCTGCTTTCAGCGGACAAAAGTTTTCGGGAAGCGCTAGGCTCTCCTTGGGTTGGGGGAAGGGAAGGAGAGAAACTCAGACACCCCAAGCCGTTTGAGGCCCCCATAAATATTTACACACTGGGCAGAAACGGTTGGGACACAAATCCCAGACGGACAGACACCGCGGTGTGTGTGTGTGTGTCTGGTGTTGGGAGTGGGGTAGATGGAGCCAATTTGGCAGAGCCGCTGTCTCCATTCGGCCCTGCCCCCATCACCCCAGCCCTCTACTCTCCTTGGCCCTGGTCCCCGATACCCAGTCTCCTCATTCCCACCTCCACCCAAGCTCCCCAGAACAGTCTCCCCGCGTCTTAGGGAGGAAGAGTGAGAATTAGCAAATCCCCCCATCAACTCCCCCAACCCCCATTCCCTCCCCACCGCCTGCCCGGCCCAGCTGGGCCGCCTGCCCCGCTCCCTTCCAGACTCGTTCTCCATCCGCGGTCCTACCTGGCCCCGGGGCTGCGCTGGGGGCTCCATGGGGCGCGTCGCAATGAGGGGGGCGCTGGCCACTCACCTGGGACATCGGCCCGGGACCTGCCAAAAAGAGAGCTCAGCGGGCGGGGACGACCTTCCCCTCGCTCGAGCAGGGGAGAGGGGGACGCGCAGGGGGTGATTCGGCCGCAGACCCGCGCCTCCCCACTTTCCAGCGCGGCCACCGACCAACTTACTCGTGCAAGCTGCGCGCTACTGGCTCCGCCCGCGGGGATCACTGCGCTGGGGCTGTCATGCGCGCCTGCTGAGGGCGCCCCAGCCGAGGGGCTGCTCGGCTCCCCGCCGCTCGCCCCGCGCCCCCCCCCCCTCACTCGCTCCTTTCTCCCATTTCGGCGCCAGCTCGAGCCGCTCGCCCCCTTCCTTCCTTCTTCTCTCTCTCCGGCCCCCTCGCTCCTCCCCCGCTCGCCTCTCCCTTCCCTCTTCCCAGGCCCACCCTCTCCCCGCCCCCTCCTCGCCTTCCCAGTCGCCCCCTCCTCCCTTCCCTCCCCCCCCCTTCCCCAGTCCCTTCCAGCGCAGCGATCGGCGCTGCCTGGGCCGGACACGTCTGTCCGCGGGGACGCCGCAGCCCGAGCCCCCACAGGAAGCCGACTCCGCGCGTTTCCTCCGCGACCTCGGAGCTGGGCCCCTGTCTCCCCAAATCTCCGCTCGGCCCAGGCCCAGCGTCCCGAGGGGCCGCCCGAGTAACTGCGCCTTCGCTTTCTCCTGCTCTAAACTCTGCAAAAGTTTGCGGAGAATCAGGAGAATGAGAGAGAGAAACCTCTCTGACCACAGCCACCTCGAGCCAATTGTCTGAATAATTGCGGCCCCAAATCTCGTAGTCCTAAAGACAGGAGTCCTTCGCCCACCCTGTCGGTCTCCGCCCTGGGCGGGGGTCTCACAGACCTCGTGCCCACCCCGCCAGAAGCTGTCCCTCCGGGAAATCCAGTTAGTGACCATCTAGCCTCCCGCGTCCTGCAGCAGCCCCGAGCATCCTTAATCCCCCCAGCCCTGCCAGCTGTGCGTGGGAATTCGTGTCAGAAGACCAACTTTGGAGGCAAAGAGAGGTTCTCTGAGTTCAGCCCTTCTTTTGGCTCCAGACGGGAATCCGAGGCCTTCCAAGTTGCGGGTGCTCGGGGAAGGAGGAGAGAAGGGGCCCCTCCAGGCAGGGACAGCCCGACGGCACATCTGGAATTGTGAGCTGGTTCCCTCCTCGGGGCCGTGGGGACAGGGAGGAGACGCCTTCAGGCAGCCCCGGGGGCGAGGACCCTCAACGTGACCCCGGGGTCAGGTCCCTGAGAATGGGGGAGTGCTTGAAGCCTGCGCCCCAACGGCTGGTGCTGGGAGCGCCCCTGGGATGGTCCTCAGGTAGGGCCGCCGCTGGGGTGCCAGCGTCTCGGCCACACTTGACCCAGGCCGCCTCGAAGCCGAGTCTGGGCGCCCCACCACGCCGGCCAGTGAGCAATTAGGGAGGCGGCGGCGGCGGCGGCGGCGGCGCCGGCGCCAGGCCAGTTCCCCAAGTCCCGCCTTCCAGCCCGGGCCCGAAGCAGGGGGTTGGGACATGGGGGGCCGAGTGAGGGACTCGGGGCCTCTCCTTGGCCTCCTCCAGCCCCCGCGGTCGCTACTTACGCCGCTCCAAGGCCCCTGCGGTGCCGTCGTGGCCAGGACCGCCGTGACCCCACGGCTCTCTCCGCGCTCTCGCCACCCGCGGCCGCCGACCTGAGAGGAGCCCAGGTGGCTGTGGCCGGAAGGGGGGCTCCCGGGCCAGGAGGCGGGGTCCCGCTCGCAGGGCCCGGCTGCCTGCTGCGGGGCCCGGGCCTGACGCCCCGGGAGCCAACCCAGATCTGGTTGCTGTCTGAGAGCTCTGAAGAGCAGAGTGGACGCCCCCTTCCTGGCAAGGGCTGAGTCACCAGGACGCACCCGCGCCGGGGCTCAGAGACTGCTGCATTCTTACCGGCTTACCTGGGCCTGCGGCAAGGACCTCGCCCTCCTCCAAGGGGGCGGAGAACGTTGTCTCCAGGGCAGCGCCCCCTTCTCTTTCCGTTCTCTCTGGCATATACGCCCCCCACCCCAACCACAGACCCTAGCGATGCACCCCTTCTCAATCTTTATCCCCGCCCTTAAACTCTGGATCAGCTCAGTCCCCCATCCTTACTGTAAGTTGCCTGCTTGAGCTCAAACTCCGAGGAATCTAGCCCAGTCCTAATTAGTATGTTTGGTTTGTTGGAAATGTAAAATACGCTTTAAATTGAATACCACATACCCTTTTACAGGTGCACTCAGTTTGTGAAAAATCAGCAAGGTGAACATTTAAGGCACACCTGCTTTTTTCGTTTGCCTATTACGCTTAAATAAAAAGCTTTAAAAAAATCAACATTCCAGGACAGAGCCTGGTAGGATGTGATGGCCAGGTGGTGGCCTCCACAGGGCAAGGGACACAGTTCACGTTCCTCTTGCTTCCCTGGAGAAGTCTGTTCATCTCTCTGAGCCTCAGGAGGGATGAATATTGGGGCCCTGGGTGTGGAAATCAATCCTTACACTGTTACCCAGGGCCAGGACTAGGGTGAGGTAAATGGGGCACTTGCCTAGGAAGCAAAATTTAGAAGGGTGATCGGATAAATAACACTTTAATCCAATATTTTAGTATTTAAAAAAATACCCCAACAAATCAGCAAATTACAGTCCTGCCTGCTATCTGCGCATTTTTAGAAATAAAGTTTTACTGAAACCAGGGCTGGGGTTAGAGGGAAGCCAGTGAAACAGGGTCATGCAAGTGCAGGGCTAGGTCCTGTGTTGATTTAAAATGTTCGCAATTAGCGCATTGTGGATTTTTTGCATTAATTTTGATTTTTAGACATATTGCAGGAAAATACTGTTTTTTAAATAAACTTAATTTATGCTCCTTCTTTTTTTTTTGAAGATTTTATTTATTTGACAGATAGAGATCACAAATAGGCAGACAAACAGACAGAGAGAGAGAGGAAGGGAAGCAGGCTCCCTGCTGAGCAGAGAGCCCGATGATGTGGGGCTGAATCCCAGGACCCTGGGATCATGACCTGAACCGAAGGCAGAGGCTTAACCCACTGAGCCACCCAGGTGCCCCAGGAAAATATTGTTTATCTTCATTACTGTGCACCTGAGCCAAGCGTGTCGATCACTCTAGGCCTTGTACACCACTCTTCCTGAAGCATCTGGCTAGGACCCCAGGGTAAATGAGCAGAGGTTGAACTTGCCCCTTCCACTGACACACACCACCAGGTGGGCTCTGCTCCCCAGCCCAGGCCTAACTTTCCCAGGGCCCACTGATCAGTTCAGAGTATTAAATGCCAAGTCCTTACAGTGCCCTCTGGCCTCCCTTAGATGGGTTCTTCCTACCTTCACCTCCATCTCTCTCATTCATTCCCTTCCAGGTTCCCTGCTTCCTGGGTTTGTTTTTCTACTTGCCTCATGTGGTTGCCTCAGGGCCTTTGCTCTTGCTCTTCTTTCTGCTCAGAACGTCTTCTCCTAGATCTTCCACGGCCTCCTTTCTCATTTCCGCATTTCTTCTGCTTGCATCACCTTCTCAGAGAGGCCATCCCAGGCCCCTCACTGTCCCCTCACACCACTAATCTTCTCAGACCTTTCACCCTGTTTTCTATTACATTTGTTTGTTTATTGGCAGAAGGAAGCTCCAGGAGAGAGGGGACTCTGCCTTGTCTGCTGGTGTATTCCCTAGAATCCTGTTTGCTCCAGACTGTCAGTAGACAGTTCCAGTTTCACAGGAGGCCTGAGGGGATAGGGGCTAATGCAAGTCACACAGGGAGTGAGTGAGTGAGTGAATGGCAAAATTTTACTAAATCCCGTTTCCAGACTCCCAAACCAGTGTTCTTTCCAGCCTCCTGGGGCTTATCCTAATCCCCTCCCCCTGGAACCCTCCCGGGTGACAGTGACCCTGCACAGCTCTCCCTTATGGTCTTGCATACACAATGCACTCCTAAGCCTGGCCTGGCTCCAGCCCATGGTGTCCACCCTTTCCCAGTGTCCAGCAGGCGTGCACGATTCTTCCTGGCTTCCTGTCTCTGGCACAGGGCCCATCGGGAGCGGCTGGGCTGGGTTCTGCAGCTGGACCACAGCTGCGGTCTCTGCCATGCCCGGGAGAATGGAGGACAGGACATTATGGCGCAACCTCTCAGGAGAGGGCTGTGTGGAAGGGGATGTGTTTGTGTGTAGTGGGAGAGGCTGCTGTATGGGAGCTGAGAACCTCCAGCTCCCCTCCCTTACTCCTTCTCTGAGGGGCACTGTGTGGGGAATGGGTGTCTACTCCCCCCGCCCTTCCTGAAAGAAATGGCATGTGACGGAATAAGGGGAGTTCATCCTCCAGGGCTGGTTCTATCCCTCTCTTCTATTCTTGGTGGTATGTCACATTCAGGAAACATGAGTTGGGCATGTTCTCTAGGCCAGCCCCCCTGCTAGACATTTCTGGATTTGTTGCTTCCTTGAAAATCCACATGGTCTGGATAGTTATTAGACCCATTTTACAGATGAGGAAACTGAGGCCCGGGTAAAGTGACTTACTCCTGGCCACACAACTAGCAGTAGATGTGGCTGGGGCTTGTGCCACATTTTCTGAGGCCACGTGCAGTGCTCATTCCAATTCCTGACTCAGCCTTTAGCACATGGAGGGACCTGTGACATTTTTCCTAAGGTGTCACCGCCTCCAAGCAGCTTGCTGAACATGGAGACATGGTGCTCTGCCGCCCACCTCTGTCTCATTGGTTCACTGGGGATAGCAGGTATGTGGCAGAGTAGAAATGAGTTGGTTTGGTGTCGTGGAGCCCCACCTCGTCCACATCCTTGTTCAGTCACTTCTGCCTAGCAATGTGATCTTGGGCAAATCACTTGAACTTTCTGGGTGGCCCATTCTGGAAGGAGAGTTCCTACCTCACAGCAGGGGAAGGGATTAAGTGAGGCCCTGGTACAACATGGCTGTCTCTCAGTAGATGTTCACAGTCTGGCCCATACTTCCCTCCTCCATGCTCACCCAGCAGCAGGTGAGGGGAGCTTCCGACGGCACAGTGTCTGTGGTTCTGAGTATGACACGGTGCTTCCCGTGTGACAGGCACAACAAACAGCACTTTGCATTAATTCACCAATTCAGTATTCACAGTAAGATGGGGCGCCTAGGTGGCTCAGTGGGTTAAAGCCTCTGCCTCCGGCTCAGGTCATGATCCCAAGGTCCTGGGATCGAGCCCCACCTTGGGCTCTCTGCTCAGCAGGGAGCCTGCTTCCCTTCCTCTCTCTCTGCCTGCCTCTCTGCCTACTTGTGATCTCTGTCAAATAAATACATAAAATCTTAAAAAAAAAACTGAGATCAATATTCACAGTAGGAAGTGTCAAATAATACTAAATACCGATATTTCTCCCATTTCACAGATGATGAAACCAAAACACAGAGGGGTTGCGCAACTTGCTCCCGGCCAGCTGCCCTCCACAGGGTGCCATCTTCCCTGGGAGAAAGGAGGTGGCTCAGGTCATCCCTGGTCCTCCACTCCAACACAGGACCTCTTTCCATTCATCCTGTGATAAGTGGTAAGTTAGTAAACTCTGGGCTGTTATTCACATATAAATGTCCTCTTACTGTGGCCTCCAAACTCTTTTTTTTTATTTTTAGTAATTCAACTTTATAGCAATTATAAATGAACCTGTTAAAATTTTCTGGACAGTGCCAGAATATGGATTTTTTTAAAAATAGTTTTTAGAGGGGTGCTGGGGTGGCTCAGTCGTTAAGCATCTGCCTTCGGCTCAGGTCGTGATCCCAGGGTCCTGGGATTGAGTCCAGTGTCAGACTCCTGGCCCAGCAGGAAGCCTGCTTCTCCCTCTCCCACTCCCATGCTTGTGTTCCCTCTCTCACTGTCTCTTCCTCCCTGTCAAGTAAATATCTAAAATCTTAAAAAAAAAAAAAAAAAAGAGGGGCGTCTTTGTGGCTCAGTGGGTAAACCCTCTGCCTTCGGCTCAGGTCATAATCTCAGTGTCCTGGGATCAAGGCCCGCATCGGGCTCTCTGCTCAGTGGGGAGCCTGCTTCCCCCTCTCTCTCTGCCTGCCTCTCTGCCTACCTGTGACCTTTCTCTCTCTGTCAAATAAATAAAATAAAATCTTTTTTTTTTAAAAGATTTTATTTATTTATTTGACAGAGATCACAAGTAGGCAGAGAGGCAGGCAGAGAGAGGAGGAAGCAGGCTCCTGGCTGAGCAGAGAGTCCAATGTGGGGCTCGATCCCAGGACCCTGGGATCATGATCTGAGCCGAAGGCAGAGGCTTTAACCCACTGAGCCACCCAGGCGCCCCTAAAATAAAATCTTAAAAAAAAAAAAAAAGAATGTCATGTAGTGGAAACATATAGTTTGTAGACTTTTCAGGTTAGCTTCCTTCACGTGGTGATGTGTATGTAATGTTCTTCCGTGTCTCTTCATGGTTTGCTAGCTCATTTCTCTTTAGTACTGAATAATGTTCCATTGTCTGGATGTACCACAGTTTATTTTCCTCGCTCACCTCCTGAAGGACATCTTGGTTGCTTTCGTGCTTTGGTAATTACAAATAAAGACGTTATAAACATTCATGGGCAGGTGGACATAAGTTTTCAACTCATTTGGGTAAAAATACCAAGGAACGTGATTGCTACATCATATGGTAAAGAGTATT